AATTCGAACTAGTTTTTAGTTCTAGATGCGTTAGTTCGAATTAGCGCTGTAGTGTAGACATACCCGGAGAATGGCTAGCTAACTACAAAAGAAGGCAGCACAGAAGTAAGGGTGACATGGAGATGGTATTGCCACTTCTCTGCTGCTGTTGGCTGGGCTCTGCCTTCAAAGCTGGGCACCCAGTCAACAGCTGCTGCTCTCTGGCCACCCAGCTCCAAAGGCAGAGCAGAAATAAGGATGGCAATACCATTCCCCTCAAAATAACCATGTGATCCCCTGCAACTCACTTTTGGGTCAGGACCCCCAATCTGAGAAAAACTGGTCTTTTCCCCCTGAAATCTGTGGACAGGATAGCACACCTGATTTCACGGGGGGGGAGACCAGATTACATGGTCTGTGATAGCGACAAGGAGTCCTGTAGCACCTTAGGGTATGTCTACACTACCCCGCTAGTTCGAACTAGCGGGGTAATGAATGCATACCACACTTGCTAATGAAGCCCGGGATTTGAATTTCCCGGGCTTCATTAGCATAAGCGGGGAGCCGCCATTTTTAAATCCCCGCTGCTTCGAACCCCGTGCAGCGCGGCTACACGGGGCTCGAAGTAGGTAGTTCGGACTAGGGTGCCTATTCCGAACTACCGGTACACCTCGTTTCACGAGGAGTAACGGTAGTTCGGAATAGGAACCTAGTCCGAACTACCTAGTTCGAGCCCCGTGTAGCCGCGCTACACGGGGTTCGAAGCAGCGGGGATTTAAAAATGGCGGCTCCCCTCTTATGCTAATGAAGCCCGGGAAATTCAAATCCCGGGCTTCATTAGCAAGTGTGGTATGCATTCATTACCCCGCTAGTTCGAACTAGCGGGGTAGTGTAGACATACCCTAAGGTGCTACAGGACTCCTTGTCGCTATCACAGACCATGTAATCTGGTCTCCCCCCCCGTGAAATCAGGTGTGCTATCCTGTCCACAGATTTCAGGGGGAAAAGACCAGTTTTTCTCAGATTGGGGGTCCTGACCCAAAAGTGAGTTGCAGGGGATCACATGGTTATTTTGAGGGGAATGGTATTGCCATCCTTATTTCTGCTCTGCCTTTGGAGCTGGGTGGCCAGAGAGCAGCAGCTGTTGACTGGGTGCCCAGCTTTGAAGGCAGAGCCCAGCCAACAGCAGCAGAGAAGTGGCAATACCATCTCCATGTCACCCTTACTTCTGTGCTGCTGCCTTCAAAGTTGGATAGCCAGCAAGTGGCGACTGCTGACTAAGGGCCCAGCACTATAGGCAGCAATGCAGAAGTAAAGGTGGTAATACCATACCAGTCCATCCTTATGTCTGTGCTGCAGCTGGCAGGAGCACTGCCTTCAGAGCTGGGCTTCCGGCCGGCAGCCTCCCCTCTCCAGCTGCTCAGCTCCGAAGGCAGCGCTTCCCCATATCTTGCAACCCCACCTCCCAACTCCTTTTTGGGTCAGGAGCCCTACAACTACAACACCCTGAAATGTCAGATTTAAATAGGCAGTTTTGACAGTCTGGTCAATCACTTAGGTATATAAGTGGGAGTTGTCAGGTGCCACAGTGTTTGAAAGTCTGGCCGATAGCCTGAGATTCACAACACAAATCCTAATGGGCAAGCCATAGAAACAGTCACCCTTAGTGCTTTCCTGCCATCTCTCTCCTACTTCATATGTTCTCTTCTCTATAGGAATGGGCCAGATGGCTTTGCAAATGAAGCAAGCCCCGAGGTGGGGTAAGCTCTTCTATTAGGCATGAAAGTCCATCTGCGTTGTGGACCCTGCTGTCCAGTGACTGCTTGGACTTCCCCCGTTTTGCTTGAACCCATGTTTGCTTTTCCCTGCAGAGCCATGAAACTGTATCTGTTACTCTTCCTGGCAGCAAATGGAGGGATCTCTAGCCATCGGCCCTTGGAGGAGTCACCCTGCAAAATGGTAAGAGATACCCCATGGAGGAGCCATCTCCTCTTGCATGTCTCTTCTTGATTATTATTCATTGTACTAGAGTAGCCCTTAGAACAGCGGTTGTCAAACTTTTTTTCTCATGACCCAGTTGAAGAAAATTGTTGATGCCCGCAACCCAATATAATTTGACCAGAGTGTGGGCTCTGGGGGAGGAGTCACCCTGCAAAATGGTAAGAGATACCCCATGGAGGAGCCATCTCCTCTTGCATGTCTCTTCTTGATTATTATTCATTGTACTAGAGTAGCCCTTAGAACAGCGGTTGTCAAACTTTTTTTCTCATGACCCAGTTGAAGAAAATTGTTGATGCCCGCAACCCAATATAATTTGACCAGAGTGTGGGCTCTGGGGGAGAGGACGGGGGGGCTCCAGCTTTGGTGGTTTCAGGGCTGGGGCAGGAGGGACTGGC